TTACATATACTTAGTAAGTGACCAACCAATTAATGATTTGTAAGAGACTATATATTTATATTGACATAAAACACATGTACATTGTAACATCTAAAACCTTAAACAGTGTATGTATTAGTTAACACATGTCTAAAAAAATAAGATTGACTAGAATCTGTTCAATTACCTTATGCATTACAATGTATATTTCAAAACTAAATGTACACACTCAACATCTATGATAGATATATGTACATGTATATACCTAAAATAAGACTTTTTAAAAGAAAATAAAAAAATTAAAACTGCTTATATAGAATTAGTAAAACTGCTTAGCGGCTATGACCTAGAATATAAAAATGTTTTCTATCTTTTAAAATGTTTTAGCAGGTTTTGGCAGCAACATACATTAATTTTTCATTACTAAGAGTCAAAATTAGTTTATCATTGTCTGATATATTATCATACATTACATCTGATAAAGCTGAGACTAAAACAGCCCTGACTTCATCATATAAAGGGCAATAAAAGAGAACATGTTTTCATCCTCAACAACACCTTCGCAATTAAAACAGCATCTTCTATCTAAAGGTAAATTTTCATATCTCCCAGTCTGTAATCTAAGAGGGGCTACACCATCTCTAAATTTAGTATATGCAGATATATATTGAAAGGGTTTATTCTTAAAAAGGTATTTTTCAGATTCAAAATCTGACTTAAACAATCTGTATGATCTGAGTTTGTTACCACAATTTCCTCTAATGGTCTGAACCCTACCTAACATATATTTCCAGTTACTTTTTCTAACTCAAACAAGTTGGACTCAATCACGGATATTGCAGGCTTTGCATTCTCAATATGTTTATTCATTAAGTATTCACAATCAATATCTTTCGCAAAAAACAGTCTACTGAAATTGTTTCTAACATTAACATTCCTTGACCACATGAAAATAATTTTGTTTTTTCCTATAATTTTGCATATTACAAACTCTAAAATACTGTCTAAAGACTGAACCCCAGAGTCGAACATTTAGTGGTTTCCAGCCCATCTCTCCATTAATTGCTGCATTAGGAGTGTACCTTCCAACCCACAAAAATAACGCATGGCTCTATTTTGAACAGGATTTATACATGAAAAAATCCTATCTCCCCCAAACAGGTGCACTGTAGTTAATAATGGGCCACACCAATGTATCGTACAATTTGTAAATGTTGAGTACTTGAAACCACCAAAAGTATTATTCTTTGAATACAGCTTAATCCATTTAAATATGCGTTTTAAGGATTTTACTTACTTTTAAGATCCAAACATTCTTAAGTTTATTTTTACAATAGTCACTTTAACCTCACAATAACCGGTAACTTTATCACCACTTTCACCTCCTTTAAGTTGAATACATGTTTACTTATTGTAAAGTGACACAGGGGTATGGTTGTGGCATATACAATAAGATTATGTGACATCGATCGATTTGCGACATTTTTGCTTGAAGGGCAGATTTACCACAGTATATAAACGATTTGAACCCCAACCGGATCTTGTGAGAAGATTTTAATGTCAGCCATATTTTGCCACTTCACTTGTTTACGATAATGGTATTTATATTGATACTGATGGACGTTAGGTTAGTAAATCTATATTTATATTATAAGAGAGAAACTTTATTAAACGTCTAAGTTATGCAAAACATAAACGTTAGCACGAAGGCTATAAAATAATCGAAACTCACGAACAGCTTTCAGGTGATCAACACTTAACACGAACAAAAATCCGTCTTATTCCAATGTTGATTTAGTTAAACATTGAATTGTGATATCGAACTACTAAAGTAATCTATAACAAACGATAATTTAGTCATATGCATAACATATTGCTGTATCTTGAACATAAATTTAAGAGTTTTACCAAGGAGGTCATTTCCTTAAACTGAACGTTACTTGCTGGTGATTGTGAACCCTACTTGTGAGTTTACGAATTTTGTCTGTACCCTGACTTGTGAGTATTTTTAAAGATTTATTGGAGAAAACGTTTACGTTCATTGCGATTTTGTATCAATTATTGCCAGAAAATATAAATGATTGTAATAGAATTTTAGTGTATAAGGTGGGATCTAAGGTATTTACCGAGAATTGGTTTAACTGATAATATTGTTAATCATTTGTTTAATAAAATATATAGCGCTATGTATATTTTTCTTTCGGATCACCATGGAAGAATACAACTGCATATACTGTTCAGTAAAGACTACGAATTTCAATACCACCATTGACCACATAATTACTCGCCATCCAGACTGCAACTTGAAAATAAGAATAAATAATGATCAGAATTAAATTTCCTACTTAAAAAAATTCAGCGTCACAGCCAATAACGTAAACGAAAAAAAAGTTTATAAAACCAATAGCTGAAACACTGACAATTAAATTTTCAAAATTTCCCGAATATTCTCCGATTAAAAAGATGCCAAAATTGTTGACGCCTATGAAAGATATACAAGAATAAAAGTCGTACATGTCAGAAATAGAAAGTCAATGAATTTCTGAGAATAGTGTTTCAAAAAGCAGAATGAAATCAACGGTAGGTGTAAAGCTTTCAACATGTTGAAATAAGTAATCTGCAAAAAAATATTGTAATGATATTTCGAGGTTTATTGATACGTGACGTTGATGCAGTTGAACTAAATATAAAAAAATTATAGTACATATGCATATCTTTCCAAAGAAAAATGAATGGTAAGTGAAGATGAGGTTTGTTAGTTAATTATTCCTATCAAGAAATAATTGACTTTCTGATTCGTATAAACAGCCACTTCATGCCGGTATTTTCGTAGACAGTGAAAACATGACTAAGCTCCTCCATTCATATGCAGTTTTAGTTACTTACATAGAACTAAAACATGTACCCTTCTCTTGTGACACAATAACTTCATATTCTGCACAATAAAATTTAGAACATACGACAAAAACACAATAAAAATCATCAAAAGTGACTCGCAAGTAATGGTTCAGTGAAAACACAAGTAGGGTACAGATCATTAAAATTGTTTTAGCAAGACGGGTACAGTTATCAGAAATGTCGCCTCTATTATTTACTGTGTTTTATCAATATTCAAAGATATTTTCACAAGTGTCTGTCCGGTAACATGAGGTTAAGACAATAAATTAAAGATTCAGATATGAGTTATAGTGAAATAAAACAATTTTAGGCATACATTTGCTTGTGTAATCGGCGTGTGTTGACATTAACAAAACATGAGGCGAAGAGCACAGCGTTTTATGCGCATATATTTTACGAAGAAGGTTATGGATGTATATTTAAGCAAAGATAAATTATTTCATCATATGATTCAAATGTTAACATACCGTAACATATTAAATCCAAGCCGATTTTTAATAGTTTAATGTGTCATTACGCCTGATTGTACGTTTAGATGCTGAGATCTTCTCACAAGATCCGGTTGGGGTTCAAATCGTTTATATACTGTGAAAATGGTGATAAAACGCTCCAAAATACGTCCTTCCGGCGGCGGATAGGTACATGTATAATTGAAAAGAAAATCCTGAGATTAATTGTTACAATGAAAGCTAACGGTATTTTGCGTTATTTCGCTTTTTTATTCCGAGATAATGCTGCTACAGTTTCTGTGTACGAACAAAATCTGTTTGATATAAGTAATATTTAAGGACTCCGGTCGATCATACAATAAACTATGACAATAGATATTGAAATGAGTTCCACATGACTATGGTGTAAAATCCAAGTAGGAACAATCTTGAAGGACATGGGAGTATATATTGTTATAGTCGGCGGTAGTCAGAAATACCAAGAAGAGTTTTAAAGTTTACAAGCTAAGAAATGACAATCTGTAATTTTTACAATATCTATAGTCTTTCTTTATGCACCTTCAAATCACTTGAAGTAATTAGCATGTCAACTTCCAAGACCGATATCGTTTGATGATCACACAAGATATATCTACTATACAGTAAACTTGTTTAATTATAACCATTTCCTTAAGCTACACCTTCCGTAATTCACTTGTCAAAAATGCACAGCCCTAAATTTCGAAATTTTGTTATTAAATTGAGATCGATTTATGAATCAAAGTCTCGGTGTGTCGACGTTTTTACACAAGTCTCTTCAATTCCGACGATCTTCTGTATATCTAATTTGAAATGCTTTCAGTTTTAATATATATTTGCTTCATCTTGTGATGGCCAAATACATATGATTATAATTACATATCAACTGTAGACAACTTTCTAAGAACAAAACTACATGTTATCTAATAAAATCTATACACTGATCTCCAGATCATGCCATAACCGGTGGCTCGATGTTGATTTTAGATGAAGAAAAGCAAAACATAACAATATGCCATAGGCATGCCTAAAACGACATTTGAATGATATCCTCAGATCTCAAATTACAACAAGACATAGCATCATCAAAATACTCGTACATCAAAGTCAGTTTAAACACCCGTCGGACAAATTTCTATTGGAAGTTCCGAATTGTATCTTTGCGTTGATATCCATCAAACTTAATATCCCTCAAACTTCGAATGGACCGTTCCAAATTAAAAGCAGGACAACTTCGATAGTTATATGTTAAGAATTCACATTAACTTATACTAGTATCGATATACGTAATCTGCAAACTGCCCTTTGGCATTTAAAGAATGTGCATCATTTGCTAGCCGTGTAAGTACAAACCACTTAAGTGGCAAACACTGTTGCTTAGTACTGGTTAGATCTAGGAAAGGAATTTGTGAGTGTTTCAATACAATAAGCTTTTAACTGTCACCAAAATCGGTTACAGAACAAATTCGTATTAACTACTAGTATACTAATAACTGATCCAATAATCGTTGACTTTAATAAAAGTAATTCGTTTCAAATTATTAAGATATCTAATACAACACGTGACCTGCACTTTCAAAATAATCTGTTAAACACATTTATTTGAGTTTTTGACATTTTTATTATTGGTTTTAACTGTTATGCATTTCAACTACATTAATGAGTCTTTCTTCCTTGTGCAACTCCTTTGTTAAGCATGGGACCGCCTTTATATAAAAGTAATGCAGGCCAAACGACGAAATCCAGATATTTGCCTCTACAAGTATACTCTTTAAATGAATCCTTATCGAATATACACTTTTGTCTGTCTATGCTTGAGGCATTTTCATCATTGATGAGAGATTTTTTATGAACTTTTTGCATTTGAGGCCCAACATTACGACCATTACAATCATTATCTATTTCAGTAAAGTTCTTTGTGGAAAGTTTTAGAAACGGTTCCCGAAGTGGACAGTCCATAACAATAGGTGGATCAGTTGTTGTCATCAACAAGCAAAGCTCGATGCATTTAGCTATGAACAACTTCATTGGCTCCTTTAGTAATAGCTCTTTCAAATCATCTTTCTTGCATGCAGACAACAGTTCACATTCGTATTCCTGAAATGAAACAACCATATTGTCATCTGTTGCTTTTTCATCATTATTGTTCAAAGTATTTAAATATGTATCACACTTTGTGTAAAGCATACTCTTCATTATCAAACAGTGAAACAGGACTGCGTTTTATCCTATCCTAGGACGTAATATCAACTTTAGGACCATCTTAAGACCACTTTAATAAACACTTTTATCTTCAGTCAAATACTTAAGATTTTGATTAAAGTTATTCTGCTGAGAAATATTAAGAAATCCGCGTGCAGTAGCATGTGATTTAGTTCGCAAGATGTTAATCTTTATTGCTACTTTAGAAATTAAATGAGTAATAACATAATAGTTTTAAGTTAAGTCATTGTCTTTAAAATACAAAATCTTCTCCAATGATTTTAGACTGAGGATTTTCTTTGAAACGCAACACAGATTGAGCAATGCAGTGAAAAATAATGTCTAAGTCTTTACCTTCTGAATATTTGAGACTTTTCTTCTAACTATGACTTTACGGCTGTCTTTGAGCCATTTTATTGTATTCTGCGCACCCTTGATATTCTGAAGTACAAAACCATACTATTAATATGTAATGAAAGTAAGACCATCGATTGCAAATATTACATTTGATGGTCTGATTGTGATGTACAATTCATGCTGGTCATATTTGTAGAATTTTGAAATAAAGGTATCAAATTTAAAGACATGCAATGTCGAAATATCTTAATCTGTAGTACTAATTTTAGTGTCTATGCTGACTTTTTCAAGCAGATGTTAATAAAGTGCTATAAATAATTTACCTTATCAAGAAACCATTCATCAAGTACAGCCCATGGCTCGGCAACTTTTGTTTCACAAAATGCATATGCTTCCTAAAATATACAAACATGCTTTTGAGAGTCGTTTATTTTGTAGAAAGATAATCAAGTAAGGCGACAAACAACTAATACCCTTAGTGTAATGTTTATAATTTCATTAATTTTTAATAAAATCTTCCCTCTTGAAATATGCAAGTCTGTCTAACGATTCTGTAATTATGTGTTTGTTACCATAACAATATCAAGAAGAACTTTTATGGATAACTGCTCTCCGAAACAACTCTCAAGTAATGCAAAGGCATTTGTCCATTCGTTATCGTACAGTTCACAAAACATCTCTGCCAGTTTTGTAGGTCGAAATTCGTCATTCAAATCTGCTATGTTGGGATTATTGTCACGCAACTTAACACACACTTGGGCACTTAACCTGAAAAATAAAACAATGTAGATATTAACAAAATATGACCAGTTAATAAGGCCATATAACGCCCTTGACAACAGTTTGGCTTTCTAAAAAATAAATAATATCAAATTTTATATTAGTTACGATAAAAGTAGAAACATTGTATTTACTTGACTACTATAAAAACTAGACAACAATTGAAACTGTACGCAGTCATACCTCTGAAGAGCTCTTTTCTTCTCCATTTCTAATTGATCTTTTTCATTATTAAGTTTATCTATATATGATTCCAGCTCCTTATTTCTCTTCTCTGCATATTTTCTTTCACGTTGTTCTGAACTTAAAGTTTTCTCTAAGCGTTTATTCTCCTGTTTAGCTAGTTTAGCGTAAGATTTTGCTTCGTCTTTTATTTCAATGACCTCTTTTTTTAGTCGGGCTAATACACTTTCAGCTTGTTCATATTTATGTAAAAATGCTGGAAATCTTCCAACTATCTCCCTACAATAAGATTTAATTTCTCTGAACAAGAAATTCAAAGAAAGACACAATATGTAGCATAAAACATGTATCACATAGTTAGGGTTTTTTTATGATTGATTTAAACGGCTTAATCTGTGTTCTTATTTCGAACATATTTTCAGAAACATATTGTATCCAAACTTAATATATTTTCTGATCATCAATATTCGCGTAAAAAGTTCTTTATTTTGTAAAATTAAATACAAAGAGAAATAATAACATGTGAAGTCTGTTTTATTTTAATGAATTAATAAACATCTTACCAATATTTAAACAAGGCGAACAGAAAAGCACCACTTACAAGCCAGTCAAGGATTGCAATATGTATCCAGAACACTCGTTTCATAATACGCCATGACCTGTCTATCAGCCATGTTATAACTGAAACTAAACGAACTATTTGTAAATTATCAAAATATCTCATATTCTTAAAAGTAGATGTATATAGATGTACAAGACAGTAGTTTGAAAGACTAGTGTATAAAAATTAAACATGTAGATAGTATTACCTATACTGTTTATAATAAATACTATTTCATCAGGTAAAGAGCGATATATCCATAAAGCACAATTGCGCATTCCGTTCTTCAAATGAAGTACATCATCCAATTTTTCTTCGGATATATTAGATTTTCTCCCTTTCCTAGACATTTTACTGAAACATAAGCACTTCTATTAAATCAATACCAAATATGATTCAAACACACGTATGTAATAAAACATATTACAATAATCGTAAGAAATCAATTCGTCCACTAAATAAACCATATTTCAAAATACAAGGAGACAAAAAAAGAACAACAAAAAAGGAAAAAAAAACGCAAAAAAAAACAATAACAAAAAACACTTCATACGCACGGTAAAGCGAAACTGGCCAACTTACTGATCAAAATGAAAGATTAAACATTTATCTTGATAAGCGGCGATGGCTAAAGTAAAAATATTTGCAGTGTTGTATAGATATATACAGATGTAATGTCATGTAGGGACAGTCATTTCTTTGTAAAAAATTATCATCGAACATTTTACTTCAAACGTTTAACGCAAACCTTATTTTTGGAATTTACATGTAAACCTCAGTCCTTTATGTCATAAGCTGACAATCATTTGTAAATAGGTTTTATATTTTCAATAACTGGAACGGATAACGTGGATAATCTTTAGAAGAGATAACATGTCATATTCAGATATAAATATTATAGGTTCGTCCAAATGTTAAAAAAAAACCTGCAAGGAAGTTTAGTATGTTTATCGGTAGATGAAATAAGTTTTATACTGAACTTGATTAAGTTTAGTATAATTATCT